GTCTACACACACATTACCATTAATTTTCCGTCACGTTGTCACCCTCCTTTATATACCAGTCTACCCTCCATCTAGTAAATACTAGAGCATTCGCCAAGATACGGGATAGTTCTAGAAACGTGGCGTCACACCAGTCATGTGACTCGCTGACGCAACAGTAGTTTAGTTGTCAAATTTCCTGTCTTGTTATTTGTCTATTAGATATTTTAACAAATATTTATCAACTAAACAATCAACAGTGTTTTAACTACGAAACTTCCTATCATGTTATTTGTATAGAAGATATTTTAACCTATATTTAACAATTAAACAACCAACAGGCTGTTTTAACTATCAGACTTCCTATCGGACTATTTGTCTAGTAGATATATTAACAAATATTTATCAAACTAAACTATCAAATTTCCTGTCATGTTATTTGCAAAGTAGATTATCGACTAAGCAACCAAAAGGCTCATTTGCCTTGAACGAAAATGAACGAAATTGTCAATAACTGACTCTTCATTAAGCGATGTATCAATAAATTCGCTTGTATATATATATGTCGACCAAACTTACACATACGTGTCTATCTCCAAGTTAATCTACCAACCCAGCAGGTCACGTACAATTCTGAATAAGCAATGATATCGCAGTGTTTGTTAATTTCTAACAAAGATGCCACTTTAACTTGGCCAGAAATGTTTTGTATCAAGTCCTAGTGTAAGATTATTTAGCCTTAAAGTGGCACTGCTTGTAACAAATAGATAAAATTAAGTAATTTGGTTTATTTCATAACATTGTGTCTCATTTTTACAACTGAGATTTAGATAAATGTTAATTAGAAAAACATAGCTCAGAATGTTCCGATACGAGAAAACATTATAATTGTATTGCCAATCAAATTCATTTTTTGTATAAACTATATCATTTTTTAATGTGTGTGTGTGTGTAATGAAAGTGTGCTGTCTAGATGTATAATTGGTTTTATCTGTGCTTATTTTTAAGTGGTTAATCTAAACATGTGTGCATTTCAATAAAAATGTTTATTCCTTGGGAAATGAATGTATCTATATTCACTGTTTATAAATCAGAATGGAAATGTAAACTGATGTTCTGGTTCATATATTTTCTACATGATGTATAAAAAGTTTCTCACGTAAAAATAAAAAGAATTTAATCAAAATGTTTAGACATGTCTGAGCTAAACTGGAACCATATATGTTTTTTTTTCATATTTTTCATGATCATTATAAAACACTAAGGTATATGCAAGGTTCATAAACGGAACACCTTAGCAACAAACGATTTGAAATGTAAAATAAGTAGGATATGGACTCACGCATGGAACAGGAATGGGTCTTAAGTAGGCTATGGACTCTCACATGGTACGGAAACAGGTCTTAAGTAGGATATGGATTCTCACACGAAACAGGAATGGGTCTTAAGTAGAATATAGACTCACACATATAACAGGAACGGGTTTTAATTACGATATGGGCTCTCACATGGAATGGAAATAGGTCTTAAGTAGAAAATAGACTCACACATGGAACAGGAATGGGTCTTAAGTAGAATATAGACTCACACATATAACAGAAATGGGTCTTAAGTAGGGTATGGACTCGCATACAGAACAGGAACGACTCTTAAGTAGGATATTGATTCTCATATGAAACAGGAATGAGACTTAAGTAGGATATGGAGTCTCACGTGGAACGGAAATGGGTGTTAAGTAGGATATGGACTCTCACATGGAAAGGAAATTAGTATTAAGTAGGATATGGACTCTCACATGAAAAGGAAATGGGTCTTAAGTAGAATATGGAATCTCACTTGGAACAGGAATGGTTCTTAAGTTGGCTGCTTTACAAATTTTGGGTCAAGTGCTGATGTCCATTTGTGGTCAGTTACTTGGGATAAAAACTATTTTATTAAGATTTTATTGTTATAAATCTATCAACACTAATAGGTAATTTATGAAACCATTTTCCTAATTATTTCTGTTTGAAATGATAATTCAGGTATCAACATACTCTGATGTACAGATTGATGACACTTAACAATAAAAGCACGTTGCATGGGTGTGGCTCCACATCTAAAATATTCATGAGTGTCATGTAGCTGAGTGCATCTCAATGAAGATGTTAATATTATTTCCTACATTTATCATGGAAGAAGAAAGGCAGTTTTTTCGAGCAATTGTCATAAGTTTTGTTACTACCTTATCCTTCAGAACGCTTGATTTAAATACTGGTAACATTGTTGGTGATTCAAGGAAACCTGCATGACAGTTGTTTTATTGTGTGATTATGATTGATAGTTTTCTGATCCATTTAATCCTACCAACATTTCAGCATACTCCATGAGCAGTTCACTAAGTACATGCTACCAGGAGAACTTCTATGAAAAGAACAGAGATACATCTCAAGTTTTACTAATCACGATCTTAGAATTTACATAGAAACAAAACATTAGTACCTACTTTATTATTGTTAGATTTACACGACTGTTTTTGTTTAAGTCTAACGGAAGAGTTATGATTTAGATAGTTATATGGCGTGAGTGTTAAATTTAGTTGTTTTTAGAAACATAGTTTATCGCAGATATGTTTACCTAACTATTATTTAGTTCAATAGTTACGTATTGGTGACTGTTCTATTAATGCGTCATGTGACTAGAACCTTCTGAATTTTTCTCTTTGTTTTAATTGAGAAGTATTACATCACAGTATCTCTTAGTTCTAGGTCTCTGTTGGGGTATAAATACGCGTCGAAAATTTAGTTTTACATATAGAGATCAGTAGATCTGGACTGTATGATTGTGAGTTCAACCATAAAGAGCGTAGAATGGAGACATTTAAAATGAAATAATCACAGATTGTATTGTAATAACAGAGTAGAGAAAATAATTGGTCTTGTCAATTCTATTCTAAAGTAATTGAACCAGCCTCTGTGGACTTTGACGAAAAAGGGACGATTACTTAAAGCTCTGGATACAACTGTGGTAACCAAGTTATAGTGGTGATTTTAAAGTAAAATTATCACATACTGCGAGACAGCCAGTATATACAGTACTAAATGGCAGTAGAAGTAGATGTAAACAATAGCGGTAATTAGGCTTATATACGCACAGCTGTGGTGGTTTCAAAACTATTGTAGAAGTCATAACCATGTAGACTAATTTTGATAAGTGTATAGACAGGGGCAAGTAACTTTGGCTCAAAGATAATGATCTATGAGAGTTTGTTAAACAACCTCAAGACTTGGAGAGATAAAAGACTATTGGCAGGGAAGAGAGGAAAAGAAACAAGAAAAAGAGAGACAGAATAAGAGCACATATTAAGAATAAAAAAGGAGAGAGAGGAAAAACTGGAAACAGAGATAATAAGATCACCAACAGAATGACGGAGGACACAAGAATGACAATGGGGACAGGGCCAGTTGACCCAAGCTGCCCAACCTTGAAGAACAGAAAGACGACATGGATGCTTTCCTGGAAATGTATGAAAGAAGTCCTCAAAATCAGAACTGGGATAAATGTGACTGGGCAGTCTGTTTCATCCCCCCCTTCTTACAGGAAAAGGCCTACAAGTGTATGTGGGCATAACATCAGAAGATACCATGAACTATGACAAGTTAAAAGTGGTCTTGCTAAAATATTGAGGCAGGTTTTCGTCGGGAATTCAAAGTCAAACCTGACACTAGAGTAACTATATTTCAGTTTCTGGCACATCTACAATAACACTTCACAGAATGGACTAACATGGTCAAGTATGAAGATAGTTTTGAAGGACTGGCCGATCAGCTAATACGTGAACAGTTCTTGATCACATGCTCCACTGACATGTCACTGTTCCGAAAAGAGAGAACACTGAAATACGTGGATGAGATGATCAAGCTGGTAGGACAGTATATGGAAGCCCATAAAGGAAGTATAACTGGCAAGTTCAAGAATAACCAGGCAAAGTCGAAACCAGGGGTGGCTGACCAGAAGCAAAATGCCATCAAAGGTGACAAGAAGTTAACAGACAAAAGGGAGAAGGGATGCTATGCTTGTTTTAAATGGGCCACATTGTGAGTGAGTGTAACAACAACAGTAGAAATCTCAACATAATGCAGCTGTAGCTATCTACAAAGATGGTGGTGGCAAGAAACAAGAAGAGAGTGACTCTCGCCATAGATGCTGCTGCCAGAAGAAACAGAATGACGACTAGTCAGATTCACCACAAGAAGGAAATGCAATAGCCATGATTAAACAGTGTATAGTTGATAGTCAGCTAAAGTTAGCAAACAGGTCAATAGTGATAGTGGTGATTGAAGTATGTGACAACAAACCACAACATGCCAGTTGGTGAAGAGACAAGAAAGTGAAAGTGAGAACCGGTCTAGTATCAGATGACTGGAAAGGTACATCTGTGTGTACTGATTGATGAAACAGTGAGAAAGTTTCTCACACCAAGAATAAAGGTGGACACTCATACTATGTGGGAGACCTAGAGGCCATGTGCATGAAGGCACCCATCTATGACTTGGTGATTGTAAATATACCAGGCAGTAGAAGTTTGAAAAAACCAGACAAAAAGGAGACTGATGAAGAATCGGCAGTCACCACAAGATCAAAAAAACAAAAGCAAGTAAAACATCAAGACTCTGCAACTCATAAAAGGTGACATCCTGAATGTAGTTCTATGGGAACTGAAGGAAGCACAGAAGAAAGACCCTTCACTGCAGAAACTTTGTGACAGTGCCCAGAAGAAAGTCGAGCACAAGACAAAGGGGAAAAAGGGTTAAAGAATAGAGGACCAGAAGGGAGTGTTGTGCCGAATCTATCAAGGCAGTTCTACAGGGGAAGTTAAACAGATCATAGTACCAATAGAATACCGGGCTCAAATGAGGAAGTTGACTCATGAGTCGATTGAGGGAGGACACATAGGAGTGCAGAAGACAGCAGACAGAATCACCAGCAACTTCCATTGTCTGGGGTTTTTATTGGAGATGTGACCAGATCTTGCAGGTCATGTGTCATCTACCAAGAAGGAAGGCAGCCAAGGTGTTACTGAGAAAGATGCTTCCCATATATGAGCTATTAAGCAGAGTAGCTGTGTATTTGATTGAATCACTAGCTACTGTTTCTGACAAGGGCAACTGGTAAGTGCTGACAGTAGACGACTGTGTGACATGTTACCCAAAAGCCATAGCACTAATGAAGATAGAGATGGAGATAGTAGCAGAAGCCCTCCTGGAAGTGTTTTGTAGAGTAGGCATTCCAAAAGAAGTACTGAGTGACAGAGGTACCCAGTTTACATAAGAACTGATGCAAGAGGTGTATAGACTCATCAGCACTAGGGAACTCCCATACAACCCAGATGTAATGGATTTTGTGAGAAAGTCAATGGAGTCTTAAATAGCATGCTGAAGAAGATGTGCCAGGAGAAACCACGTGACTGGGACAGGTACCTGCAAGCAGTATTATTTGTTTACCGAGAAGACACACAAGCGAGTACAGGATTTTCACTCTTTGAGTTACTGTACAGAAGAACAGTAGGAGATATAAAGCAGATATTGAAAGAACAGAAGTGGGGAACACATACAAGTACGTGTTAGACCCCAGAAACTGACTCGAACTGACTATAAACTGGGTTGAGATAAGCTGCATGCAGCTCCAGGAAGTCAGAAACATTTCTATCACAAGAAGGCCAAGGATCAACGTTTCTAGGTCGGACAGAAGGTCTTGGTTCTGCTGTCTACAACAGACTCACCCTGCAGTGTAAAGGACCAATTTGAGTGCAGGAAGTATTCCACAGAATGGAATATAAGATGAAAGTGAATGGGAAGATCAAGATATACCACGTAAATCTGTTGAAGAGGTACATCAAGAGTGAGGAAGAAGACATAATGGGTGTTGCTATTGAGGCACAGATGGACATTGCAGGTGTGACTGTCATAAATGGAGAACAAAAAATGGTGACTTTGTCATTGAAGATGAAAACCACTGGATGGAGATGAGACATATAAAGTTGTCAGCATCAATGAAGAACTGACTGTCAAGCAGAAGAAAGAGCTACAGGATCTACTGAGTCAGTTCTCAAATGTCTTCACAGATAGACCATGCAACACAAGATCAAGACCACGACCAGTGATCCAATTAAGATGAAGCTATCAGATGTCCTATTGTTGCGTCAGCGAGGTCACGTGACTAGTGTCACGCCACGTTTTCTGGAAATATCCTGTTCCTTCAAAAATGTGTTAGTTTTGTATATATATATAAGACGGTCACAACGTGACAGAAAAAACAGTGTAGTAAGTAATTGAACTGCAGTCAGAGAGTATTGTTGAAGTTGAGCACGTTCGTTGTTATAGAGCAACTGTTGAAAATAAGTGTATCAGTAAAGTTATATTCAGGAAGAATAAACCAGTATTATTAAGAAAGGACTTGTGTCGTTAAAGTTTCGTGGGAACGAAGTTACGGAAAAATTAACAAACGAACGGAGACATAACAAATTGGTGTTAGAAGTGGGATAAAAAAAGAAGAAAAAGAGAAGATGGAAACGAGAAGCGGCAAATCAAACTACAGTTTAGCAGATTTGATGGCAGCAATACAAGAACAGCAAAAGAAACAAGAAGAGAGACAACAGCAGTTGCAAGAAGACCTGCAACAATGGCAGCTCGAACAACAAAATAAACAAGAAAAGAAACAAGAAGAACGAGAAATTAAACAAGAAGAGAGATTACAGCAGTTGTTGGAGGAAAAATAAAAGAAACAAGAAGAACGAGAAATTAAACAAGAAGAGAGATTACAG